GCTGTGAACTACGGGTTCAATAGACAGGCAGTCAAATGCTGGTTGGAGACGGCTTGAATGGGTAATGAAGAAAAACTTTAATATAAGTTTAACATAACAAAAAATGTACAACGTTTCGACAAGGTTTTGTCGTCATCAGGTATCATCTTTATTACCCATTCAAGCCGTCTCCAGCCATTATTAGTCTCAAAGTGGGTTCCTCGTCATCGAATTTGAATTCAGACAGGCAGTCTGTATAGTCTCTTCAGTTTTAGTTGGTGTTGTTGTTATAGCTGCTTGAAAATTTTAGGTATTGGTTCTGCATGTCATTGACTTTGAAAACCAATGATTTTATTTATCTTTTTTTGAACAATAGATAACTCTTAAATATAACTTCCTTTAATATAACAAGACAAACAGGGATTTTAGTCGGTAAATTGTTAAAAATTACTTTCATACAAAAAGTCATATATTGTCTCTTTTCTTGGTAAAAGTTGGTACATATCAATTTCGTAAGTGGCACATTGCTCGATAAAAATAGACGTAAAGTACTTTGATGCAAAATAACTTACTTCTAATATCGATAACAAAAATAGACGTAATTGGCTTTATTATAAGAAGAATAGAGATAAGTAGCTCTCTACATAGCAAATAGTTAATGAAATAATATTGTGATAATTTTAAACTAGAGGTAGAACCGAATAAAAATAATTATTTTGTTAAACTCTCTTTTTTTTTTCGTGGGAAAATATATTTTCTTCTTTTTATAAATAAATAGCTGAGTAAAAACTTTGAAATGTTTGAAATTCAAAATGCCTTATTCTCGTTCCCAATAAATAGCCGATGAACTTACTAATTATAACATCCAAGGGATCTTGAGCCTAATACGACAATGTACCCATATTTACGTTTTGCGAATGTTAAAATTTCAAACACTTAGGCCAAAAACAAAAGGTGCATCGGTTATTGCAGTGGTTCCCAAACTATTTTAGTCTGAGGCTCCCTTGATGTGAATTAAAAAGTTTGAGCCCCCAACCTATAACTTTAGCATGGTGATTGAAAAACAGTACCGTAGTAAAAAAAAAACATCTCCTTTCAACATACTGTATCATTTAATTAATTCAACATAGTTTTTATCTGCTTCTTGTTAATTTAGAATTAAAATTAATTCAGCATCTTTGTTTTCGGCCCATTTTTTGGCCGCCCCCAGGGAGGGGGGTTGCGGCTCCAACTTTGGGAAATACTGGCGCACAAGGCAAGAGTACAATTTATTAAGTGGTAATAACACACTAAATATCAGATTAAACATATACTCGCAAGCCTCATGTGAAATGAAATAGAAAAATACCAAAAAATTAAAGAAGCTATGGATGTTCAAGACCATAACTTACCACATCAAAATCCGTCATTCTCCGTCTATAGTAAGTTTTGAGTAGGTATTTGCTCATAATAACATAAAAAACAATAAGTGGAATGTATATACACACACCTGATATATTTGTTTTCACAGGTGGAAAGTTGTATGTGTTTTGGTTGCACACACACACGTGATATATTTGTATTCACATGTGGAAAGTTGTATGTGTTTTGGTTGTACACACATGATATATTTGTATTCACAGGTGGAAAGTTGTATGTGTTTTAGTTACACACACGTGATATATTTGTATTCACATGTGGAAAGTTGTATGTGTTTTGGTTGTACACACATGATATATTTGTATTCACAGGTGGAAAGTTGTATGTGTTTTAGTTACACACACGTGATATATTTGTATTCACAGGTGGAAAGCTGTATGTGTTTTGATTACACACACATGATATATTTGTATTCACAGGTAGAAAGTTGTATGTGTTTTGGTTGCACACACACATGATATATTTGTATTCACAGGTAGAAAGTTGTATGTGTTTCAGTTACACACACATGATATATTTGTATTCACAGGTGGAAAGTTGTATGTGTTTCAGTTACACACACATGATATATTTGTATTCACAGGTGGAAAGTTGTATGTGTTTTGGTTACACACACATGATATATTTGTATTCACAGGTGGAAAGTTGTATGTGTTTTGGTTACACACACACATGATATATTTATATTCACAGATGGAAAGTTGTATGTGTTTTGGTTACACACACACACATGATACATTCAGAAAAAATTACATTTAAATTTAAACTTGTCATCTTACTGCTCAATACTAAAGAGCGCAGTACTATGGAAACGCACACCTTGCTTTAACAACTGCGATGAGTGGTGTATAGCCTGAAATTAGTCCATAAAATAGAGCAGTATGTAGCTTTCTTGTGGTGTATAGCCTGAAATTAGTCCATAAAATAGAGCAGTATGTAGCTTTCTTTAAGACAACGGATGGGTTGAACGGTAGTCCTTAACTTTCATTAAGGTCTTGGATAATGACAACGTATTTCAAAGTGATTAATTGTGGGCGGTTAAGTTGACATTTCACATTAGCACGTCCATTTCTTCAGCACATTACCCATACTTTATACCCGATATGGGTAAGGAAACTGAAATACCTCGGATACTGATACAGTCAATGCCACATTCAATAACCATTTCTTCTTCAAGTTATGTGAAAGCCTCTCCTTATGATACCATGATGTCAAATAGCTCTCTATGGTAGCTACTGACCTTGGTAAACGCTGTACAGTAGTTTGGCGTGGAATTCTCTTGCAAGTTTAGTGGGTTATTTCCCATTGCTGGCTGGGAATGTCCTGTCTGCGTACATGCAGCAATAAAGTGCATACCGAGACTTAAACGTTCTTTTGTTTTTAAATCATACTTGTTGATCGATGTAGATTGATATATCACAAAACAAACAAAATCGTTTCGTCTTTTCACTCAGGCTTAGATACTTATCATTCTTGTATATTTTAAGCAGCGTTTTAAAATTAGGTTCTGTTCAATGAAATTATACATGTAGGCGTTTGTTTATTTGTTTGTAATTAAGCATAAAGCTACACAATGGGCTATCTGTGTTCTGTCCATCACTGGTATCGAAACCCGGATTCTAGCTTTGTAAGTCCGCAGACATACCGCTGTGCCACTGGGGGGGGGGGGGCCAT